TCATAACATAAAGGACATTATACAATCCGTTGGATATGGCTTAAATCACTTGAGAAGTGCTCAAAATGGTGAAAAACTGCATGATTTTGAAAGAATTTTTGGCCAGGGGGGGGGGGGTTCACCCGAACCCTTCGAACCCCCCCTGGCTACGGGCCTGTATTATTTTCTGTTTACTTCGGAATTCAGTGAATCATCTGTAGATTGAAAAACAAGGATCAATAAATACAACTACTCAAAATCAAATATTAGAAATCTATTTTTGACTGGACACATTTTGTTCTCGAATGCCAAATAGAACCTTCATGTTCTTTATTCATTTGAAACTTTGATTTGAACGATTTCAATCAAATGTGTCTTGATGCCCCGGGCTAATGCCATTAATTGACAAAATGTTGCAATAGGCCTAGGGGGGCATAAGTATTTATTTAGTATTTTGTTATCACACATCAAAAGGCGTATTTGAAGTTAAGAAAATACAAGAAGACTTGGCTAGACATTATGTACTTATATATTTATATAGTATGAGTTTATTTTGTATTCAATTCGAATTCTGTTCAGTTGGACTCCTTGAACATCACCCCTTGGCTACGGGTATAAGTACCTTCGGCACAGGAGAGAATAATATTAGACTTCTGCAATGCAACTAATAAGAGAGACCTAAAATGAAAATAATGTAACAGTGGTCTACTTCGGTTCTACTTTGGTTATAAAAATAACTGTTCCTGTAAAAATATACAATAATGTAGTCCATCACAAAGTTCATTTATTTCACGAAAGGTCAAAGGACATTGCCTCTAAACACTAAGATAAACAAATTAACGTCCGCAGAAACATCCTGTAGAGGAAAAAACAAATGGCTTTTCATAACGGATTAGAATAGCCAGTCTGTCTGATTGTATACATGTTATATATTAGATACATTTTAAATTAAATGAATTTTGACGGATTATGTGATTCCTGGGAAATGAAAAATAGTTTATTTTTCCTGGCTGTTTAATGAAAGCACATTTAAAAATCTCCATTTATTAACATCTAACGGGCTTTGAAAACCAGGGATTGAAAACAGGAATCAATGGTAATTAATCAGATCTTAGAATTTATACACGTGTATGAGAGGTGCGAAAGGCAGGCTGACCGTGCAGTCGCCGTATGGTTGACATGCGGACAATGTTAGAATGCGAAGGGCAACTGTGTTCCCCTGGTATGGGCCGTATGATTGCTACAAATGGATATGCATGGATTTATTGCACTCGACAGAGCTATGTTTATGTCTTTTGAACGGTGGCTCTACCTCGATGCATCTGTTAATAAATGATACTATAAGCTTTATTGGATTGTGAATTCAACCTTTCAAATTCAAATCCCAAATAAATAAAGCACACAATTTAAGTGTGACAAAAAAGCAAAACTAAAAAACCTATAGTGCCCGACATTACGTTAATAAATAATTTCCACATGTTGAAATATATTGCTATTTGATTGAGCTTAAGACAAAACATTTTGGAATTGTTTCACATAATGTAACACCCTTGGTATACGCAGCTAACGAAAATTGACCGGTACGGGTCAAAAGCTGGACCGGTACGGGTTAACGGTTTTATTTGAATTTAAAACAGCCATAACTTGCTCAATATTGACTTCCTCGTGTCTAATTTGAAATATATGATGCCTCCCGATGCTTTTAAGTACCCCAATTTTACAGATTTTTAAACGGACCAAAACTCTCTAAATGCGCATTTATGCTCTTTTCTCTCGAGAACGACTGTCTCATTTTCACGATAACTTTTATTTAGTACTTCTAACATATAAGATCTATTTTTCCCCATCAAGGTATGATGTAAATGACATGCTTTTTACATCTTGTGAGTTTCAATGACGCACGTTTGATTTTATAAAAAAATGCCAAGCTTTGTGACAAAGAATTTCATCAGCTATTGCCCCGAACCGGTCCGTCTTCTCGCTGCAAGCAGATTGGCCCGAACCGGTCCGTCTTCTCGCTGCAAGCAGGATGAAATTCTTAAAATCAAAAATCGCCTGATTTGACGGCAAATGAAATTAAACACTCCCAAATTCTGGCGAATATGGAATTTAAACTCAGTTCACCAAATGAAAATGACTCTGATATCTTTGATCAAGTTATTTTGGACAAGGATATACTAACAGCCCATTTAAGGCAACTGCCTAATGGTAAAGCAGTGGGCACTGATCTTATACCGTATGCATTTTTGAAATATGGGGGCCCCACTATTGTCAACACTTTGCTCCATTTGTTTACAATGTGTAAGACCCATGAATCATACCCTGAACAATGGAAAGAAGGTTTATTAAAGCCACTTCATAAAGGTGGCGCAAATGGCTCGTTAGATAATTTTCGAGGTATTTCCCTTACTTCTAATGTATTTAAACTTTTTTGCTCCATAATCAACAAGCAAATGATGGCTTTCTGTGAAGATAAAAATATTTTTGGTGACTTCCAAGGAGCGTATAGAATCAAACAACGTTTAGAAAATCATGTATTCAAACTTAAGTCTCTGTGCAGTTTAAGGAAAGATAAAAACCAAAAGACCTACTTGGCTTTTTTGGACATTTCAAAGGCCTTTGACGTAATGGACAGGGACCTTATGTTCATAAAATTATGGGAGAAAGGTGTCCGCGGTAAATGTTGGAGACTCATAAGAGAAATGTACAGAGGAATAAGAACCAAGGTCAAATTATCTAATAATTGTAATGAAAACCTCATAGATAACGACAATAACAATGGCTTGCAAAACGAAAATAATAATAATAATGGAAATACCCAATGGTTTAATACAAAATGCGGAGTCAAACAGGGTTGTACCTTATCAACTACTCTATTTTCAATCGTCATGACTGACCTTCAAGATGAACTTTTAAAATCTGATGTAGGTATTACATTTAATAACTCAAAATTCCCTAGCCTCATGTGGGCCGATGATATAGTACTCCTAGGCAATTCTGAAAATGATCTTAATAAGATGCTCAATGTCACTAATGATTTTGCTATTAAATATGGTTTTAGGTTTAGTGAGAAAAAATCAAAAGTCATGGTTATAGGCAAGAAAATTGATAAGAACAAGTTATGGAGATTAGGTGATCTCAACTTAAAAGAAGTCCAAACCTATAAATATTTAGGTATTCATATTGATCGATCCTTGAAAGATAACTACCACATAATTGATCAACAAATTCAAAAGTCAAAGACTCTGAAGAACTTTATTACATTTATACTGAACAAACATTTAAATGCTAAGCGTATTGAATTTGGTAATACGCTTTATACAACAAAATTCCTCTCGGGGCTGTTACATGGCTGTGGTGTTTGGGTTACGAATACCAAGACCATCCTCGATAAACTCAGGACAATGCAATATGACATGGCCAGGGGTATTTTCAATATAAAAAGTACCCCTGCATATGTTGCTATCATTAATGAACTTGGTTGGACACCAATTAAGTACATAGTCCTCAAGCGACAAATCCAATATTTTCTCCATTTACAGACTCTTGATCAGGGGTCATTCATAAGATTACTACTAACAAGAATGCAAGAACGATTTGCATGTAACAAATCAAATAGTTGGAAATATGTCGAGCACATAGATGATATCTTTAAACTGATTGACCTTAAAGGCATTGACAATAACTTAAATACTTTGATAGAAAATTATGAACCTTCTATTCAGAAGACATGACTCTGAATAGAAGTCATGACTCTGAGATACAAACTGAAATGAATGGAAAGTCTTCCTTGACACTGTATAGACAGCTTATAGATCTTAAACATAAAGGTTTACAGTACTATTTAAGAAATGATTTTGATTTTGCAAGTGCACGATTAAAAGTTCTTGCTTGGACCGGGAAACTAGGTCTTAAAGGTGAAACATATAAATGGGCAAATGTACAAGTTAATAGCCCATTCTGTGATTTTTGCTCTGATATAGAAGAGAATATAGAACATAGATTACTATTTTGTTCTAGTTTTGCAGGGGAAAGATCCAAATTTTATAAAATACTTGAGGATAAAATTCCCATACATTTAACAGGGATATTCTTTAGCGCCCCAACTGACACAAAATTGAAATGGTTACTGGGAGATGAGGCATACATCTTTGGGGGGCACGAATATGGTGTTTTATTCGACTCTTTAGTAAAAAGCTTTTTAAATAAGATTTTAAGTAAATATTAACATACCTATGTTTTAATTCTTTTTAAGACTCATTTTAGTTTGATAGGATGTTCTGTTTTTAACCAACATGGCATTGTGGATACTTTCGATTAGATGCACCTTAATGTAAGAGTGCCACTGTTAAAAAAGTGTATATCTAAATAAATAAATAAATAAATAAAAATAAATTCTTTGTCACAAAGTTTGGCATTTAAAAAAAAATATAATCGAAACTGAACCTGTACGTATCACTCGACCATATACAAATTCATGTAGCCTTCTCATATAAATAGCCGTTCAAATCCAGTGTTTGTTTAGACTACACCATAGCGTGTAATGATTCTATATTATGTCATTGATGCGGTTTTATAGCTGGTTTTCTAATACATATTTTAAACGAGCTCGTTTCGTAAGATTTTTTGCGCTAAATCATGCATGACAAACATCATCGTGTTCAGCAAGAATTCAACTGTGCATCGAAATCAAAATTGACAGCATAGTGTTCAATAGACACGAGTAAAATGGTTCCCGTTGACCCAACGTCAAATTTCAAATCTCCACGTTCTAAACCCGAAACTCTGAAGCTGAAAGAGTATCTGAAGTAGACTAAGCGCGCATAAAACTATGAGCGCTCGATACATTCCTTTGTTAATTTTTGTACTTTGCGTTCACGGTTACGTTGTGAAAAACATCGTTAGCTTAACCTCTCCAATAAGGGACCAGGAACGCATCGAACGAACTGCTACGCAGGTGTATACTTTTTATTTGCACTTAAATTAATGGTATTCCTTTTAAGACTTCAGAATATATTTCTCTAATCATATGCTCCTGCTGCACCTGCCATATACCTACATGTATCCCACTTCCGTCTAGCTACTCGTTGTTCTATATCAGGCCTGGTGGTAAAATCAATGAACTGAAGAAGAAAGACAAAGCTTATCATTATAGCTTTCATTTTGACAACAAGGTCGACTGGGAATGAAACCCTAAATGTATTTACACCCATAATGTATTCTTTTGGAGTTTCCCAAATTTCTCTGAAGATCGCACCTATTTGATGAAGTCCATTCGGGGTTGTAATTTTCGTTTCGTAATTCCACACTGGACAAGCGGACATACACTTTGGCGGCCCATTGATGTCAAATATTATTTGGTGGTTGTTATATTTGATGCTGAACATGTAATTGTTCCAACACTTGTGTTGTACGATTGAACCAATAAGTTGTTCAGGTGGCGATTCTACTGTTATCTCATAAGGGGTACCCGGACAGCAGCAACATTGGTAAAAATAAGACCCATCACACTCTCTCGAGCTACTCTTGACATTTATCACATCTACGCCCATATTGTCTGTAATATGAATATCGAAACGTGTTACAGAATATCTGACTTCATGACAAGAGTTTTCTTTTGCTAAGTATAACTCTTGACCGGCTGTATTTCTGATATGATATGGAGATCTATTTACGTCGTAATTATGCGTCATTTTAAGATCTTGAATCATATCTTGCTTCATGACAATCTGCTTTAATTGTGTAAGGTATTCAAGGCCCGGTGGGCATCCTGGAACACTCTCGGGTCGTGTCATCCATATATTTTGAGGTGGTGCCCTTGGTGTAATTGGCATACCTTGTTGTCCCGGAAAGCCTATTCCATTGGGTAGTTGACCTGGTTGATATTGTATTGGACCAAAATATTGTGCATGAGATGGTTTATATGATGGTTGTAACGGTAAACCTGCTTGTGGACCATTTCCTTGCATAAGAGGCGGACCAGGCGGTTTCTGTAATGGCGGACTTGCGCGTGGACCATTTTCTTGCATAGGAGGCGGGCCGGAAGGTGGACCATGGGATTTCTGTAACGGCGAACTTGCTCGTGGATCATTTTCTCGCGTCGGAAGTAGCCCGGGGTGCTGATTATATCCTTGTACTGGAGGCGGATCAGCATTTGGACCATTTACTACACTGGATGTATGGTCATGTAGTTCATCTGACGTCCGAGTAATTCCTTGTGTAAAAGCTTGGCCTGATGGTGGCCCATAGTTATAGGAAAAGGGAGGTCCATTGTGCTGTGTTGACATATTCTAATGACTGTATCTAAACATATATTTCGGAAGCTTCCCAAAGATATGTTTTCCTTGATCGTTTTTCCTTTCTGACTGTTGCAAGGGTCAGGTTGCTAGGATAAATGTAGAAAAGAAGAGTATTGTAACGTCATCCATACTTCAAGAGTATTGTGACATAGTACTGGAACTTTTTTAATCGCAGTGTCATTCAATAAGTTTTCAAGTGCAGTTCGCATTTCAAATATTTATTGAACCAAGATAACAGCGTTCTGTTTTGACCTCCAGTCATTTTAACTAGTTCCACTTATCATTTACATGACCAGGATAACAATGGACATGGTCAAAATAACCCTAAACGTGATGGAATAACGTTTTTAGCCCTCTGAAAATGTGACTGGAAATAGCTTAAAGTAGGAGCTTAGGAAAGGTCACAGAGCAGAATCTTTTTAATTTTTCAGATAATGTACCCAATAAATTGCTCTAAATTATACAATCTTTGAAATTTTAGAAAATTGTCTGGAACAAAAATAACGGTCATAAAAAGAAAACAGATCGTTTTTTATTCATCTTTCAATTCTTACTTTTTCTATGAATGATATCAAATTTTCAAAGATTGGATCATTTAGAGCAATATATTGAGCACATTTTGTTTATTTTTCCTCATTGACAAAAGGACAGTCATCTATACATCAACCTGATCAGAATATGTTTGAGGGTCCATCATTATCATTTTCTGTTGGCAACAAATCGCGTCCTGATTAGTGCAAAACCTCTCCGATATATTGGTCATTTTTATTCAAAGAGTTTAAGGTAATATAAATCCGGTGCGTTTCTAAAACATCATTGATTTATGCCGGTGCGTGCGGGAAGACATATTTCGAAATACTAGTGTTAAATTATATGTTTATGGGCCAATTTACGATAATTGATATTTCCAAAAATACAAAATTCGAAAATTAAAATATTCATATGACGATGGATTTTTCTTGAATTGTAGAGGAAACACATTATATTTTATAACTTCGTAAGCGGCATCATTGGAATTATATTTGCATTTCGTAACTTGAGCAATTTTCGAAGGAATGAAAAATTAACACATTTTCGTTAATCGTTCAAAAAGTCTGGTTTAATTTCAAATAAGATATTATTTATCACATTTGTGTGTGTCAAACAAACAATAAACATGTTTCCTTGGATATTAGTATTGAATTGTAAAAAATAAAAATGTAAATAGAGTCAATGTTATCGTTTAAAATTATTAGCCGCAAATTATTTTGAACGACCCCTATGTCAAAAGCGATAACTTAAGAAATGGGCAAGATACATTTATACAAATTTACATGTACAGTTCTTATCCGATGCCCTCACTATGTGTCAAAGTTTGTGGCTTCATTTAATATGGTTTTTCCAGAAAGGGGTGTCTATTAATCATGAATCCTCCAATACACATCTGTTTTGGATGATACATTTATATTAGACTCCATTAATCATTCCATGAGTACCCCTGTTACTATGACATGGCCTACTTTATCACATCATACATTATAATGATATTGAAAAGCAAAATATTTGTTCATTTTCACTCTTTTATATATACAAAGGACGATTCTCGGTTTGGAGAACAGTCTCCTGGGCTAATAATTTTTTTCATGAAAAATATAGAAATATTACCCAAATTAAACTTTGAATATTCAAAGGGGAACATTTAAATCTACAAGATGTAAAAATAATAAATTGGTCTGAACCAGGGAAAATGCTCAATTAGACCGATTCAATAAAATACAAGTCTCGATTTGGGGAAATAAGTTCAATAGTGTACTGCGCTAATATTTTTTGGCGAAAAATCTAGAAATATTACCCAATTTAAATTATGACTATTCAAAAGAAGACATTCAAATCTATATTATGTAAAAAAATCAAATTTGTCCGAAGCAGGGATAATGCTCATTTAGATTGATGAACTTCGTTCTCCAAACCGAGAATCGTCCTTTAAGGTACTTTAATGTAATATATTCCTTTCGCCTTAAATCTTTCAATTAGTTTAATTTTTAAAGTGAATGGACAGGGTCCTATTATCACAAGGTGTGTACCAAATAAAGCGTGACGGGTAAACGCGCACTGTTGGCACAACATGAGGGTGATGACATTTGAGCAAACTGATGTTTTCATCGTTTCAGAAAGATTAGTCCCCGATCTGATTTCCAAAGGGCTCTAGAAAAGGGGTTTTGTTGTCCGGTACTTTCCCACATAAAATGATTGTACCGTTTGAAAGAACAGACTTCCCTCTTAAAGAAAACACCCCTTCTATTGATGTAAACAGGGGCAAAAGGCACCAAAACGGGGTTAGACAAGGTGGCATTCTGAAGTCTCACTTTCTTGTCATCACGATTCCAGGTAAACCATTAGACGGATTTACTTCAAATTTTCACACATGTTCCATGGTAAGAATTTCTAAAGCTGATTCACTTTGCGGCGGCCATCTTGCATTCTGGCGGCCATCTTGGAATTTTTTTCAGATAAATATTGTCATCGCGATTCCACAAAAACCACGTAACAGATGTACTTCAAATGTTCACACATGTAACATGGTAAAAAGTCCTAGACCTCATTATTTTTTCGGTGGCCATCTTGCATTCTGGCAGCCATCTTGGAAGTTTAAAGATAAATCTTGTCATCACGATTTCAGGAAAACCAAACGGATTTACTTCAAATTTTCACACATATTACATGGTAAGAAGTTCTAGAGCTAATTAACCTTTCGGTGGCCATCTTGCATTCTGGCGGCCATCTTGGAAGTTTTTTGGATAAATCTTGTCATTGTGATTCCAGGAAAACCACTTTACTGATTTTCTTAAAACTTTTACACATGTTACAAGGGAGGTTACATGCAACCTTTTATATTGATATAAACAGGGGCAAAAGGCAGTAAAGTGGGGTTACACAAGGTGGTATTCTAAGGAGAATGTTATCTATTTTTCTGTATTTTAAACCACATAATTTGACATTAATGCATATTTGGTGTATGATATCATGTTTTATATAGATAGAAACATGGGCAAGAGGCGCTACAATGGGGTAACACATGGTGATATTCTAAAATACATATCTTTACTCTGCTTCTGTACTTTATACCACTTAAATGCATTTTGTGTATGACATCGATTGATTTTTAGAATAAATAACTACATTTCATCAAAAAGAAAAAAGATTATTGAAAACGTCAAACATGTCTTTGAAATCCATTATTGCACAGCGATTTTTGAGAGCGAAATGTATGCTAAATTGGCCTTGGTCTGAGTATATAACGGAATTAAAGCTCTTTTAAACGAAAATGTAAATGTGTGGAAAACCTTTCACTGTGCATCATGTCAACGAAATGTTCTTCATGCAGTTGAATTATCTTCTGGACAGGTGATCACACAGAAGGAGAGACCTGCGTATCATATCCTTACTAAATATAAACAAAAATGACAAATGAGAAAGGAAAAAATTGTAAAGCAACCTAGTGGGAAAAGCAAACTGTAAAGTGTAAAACTGGCAAACAAAAATCAAACCTGAATATCCCAAGACAATAATCTAATGTGGGAATAAACAGCATCCACACCGTTCAATGACCAATTCCTCATCAACGACCACAACTCCGAGGGACATTCCATTCATACTGAAGTCATTAAAATACATGTTGAAGAAAAATTGAAAATAATGATATCCAATACTCATAAGATCAAAAATAGTTGTAGATACTATAGTACTCATAAAATCTGCAGATAACGTTTCTTCATCAGGAAAGCAAGCTGTCTCTTAGTCAGATATTAACTAACGAGCTGGTTCAGAGCACCAGCATGTCATACTATGTGAATGGGCTCTGTATCCACAATGTTGCGAGTTCGAGACACATGTGCTCTTTGCGTTTAATAATCAACAAAAATCACTTAAACCTGCACTAAAACTGTGTGTCAGATCGATATAAGTATAGGGTTTGGAAACTAATTGTACCAACAAAAAGAACTTAAAAACACTGCTACAATATCAACGTAAGCTTTCAATAGTAGTGACGATGCAGAAACATGCAAAATGTCACCACACCTTGTTAAGTATACAGTACACATTAACTACTGAACAGTGTCAAGATAAACGTTAGAAGCTATTACAATATGTCACCCAATCACTAGTGGTGGTGACATAAAAATAATGTATAGAAAAATCTACTTGTGATTTGTGGTAGAAGAACTGATTGTTTACTCTAAGTTTTCAACTAAATATATTTCTAATAAGCAATGTTTTATCGAAAAGAAAAAATAATTTCATGTTATATAAAATCAAATAAATGAATTATATATTTTTTTCGTTATGTTAGTTACACCAGTAATAATAAACCTGTTTATAAAGTGGTGTTAACTAGACTATATAATTTAACAGTCATAAAAGTAATAATAAACCTGTTTATAAAGTGGTCTTAACAAGACTATAGAATTTAACAGTCATAAAACCTAAAAAAATATACCAGGAAGGGACCATTGTGAATGTAAATATATAAAGTGTGAAAATTTGAAGCAAATCTGTAAAGTGGTTTTTCTGGAATCGTGATGACAAGATTTATCTACAAACTTCCAAGATGGCCGCCAGAATGCAAGATGGCTATCGGAAAGTTAATCAGCTCTATAACTTCTTACCATGTAACATGTGTGAAAATTTGAAGTAAAACTGTTACGTGGTTTCCATGGAATCGTAATGACAAGATTTATCTAAAAACTTCCAAGATGGCCGACGAAATGCAACATGGCCACCGAAAAGTTAGTCAGCTCTAGAACTTCATACCATGTAACATGTGTGAAAATTCGAAGTAAAACTGTAAAGTGTTTTTTCTGGAATCGCGATTACAAGATGTATCTATAAACCTTCCAAAATGGCTGCCAGAATGCAAGATGGCCACTGAAAAGTTAATCAGCTCTAGAATTTCATACCATGTAACATGTGTGAAAATTTGAAGTTAATCTGTTAGGTTGTTTTCCTGG